AAAATGAGCCACTTGCAAGTGTCTGGATTTTGATCACATGACCATCGGGATGCTGCAACGGTTGTGTGAGAAATGGTCATAAGTTACTTTTTTCAGTGCTGTGATAACTTTGGTCACTAAACAGAAGGTTGTAAGTCAACAACTACCTATAGTACTTCTATAAGGAGCTGATCTAAAGAAGGCTTTGACTGCAGTCAATCAATGAAAATGAAAGATAATTTATGTATGTCTTCCATAATATTTATTTTATCCATTTGCAATCTGTGTGTGTGTGTGTGTGCGCGCGCGCGCGTGCGTGCGAAAAGGAAAATTAGGTTTCTAATTTTTCTGAAATGCTAAATCAGTTCTGCAAACAAAACAATTTTTTAAAAAAAACCTAATATCTAAATATTTATACATATTCATCTAAGACTATAACTTGTAAAAATTAAATTCCTAAGTAGCTACTGAATTTAAGTGCACTTAATTGGAAATGACATTGAAATGGCAGTTCAAACTCATATTCAATACGTGCTTTGATTTCAAGCACTTATGTGTAGTCTAAAATACAGTAAATCATGCGGAATGTCTGCTACAATTCTTTTTAAGTCAAGTGAAACATAACATGACATAGCACATACATCATTTCTTGATTAAATTTGATGAACTTCAAGTCATTACCAGTAAATTGGAAATGCTGCTTGGTTAATATAACCCAAATAGACAGTTTTCGTGAGTCATAGGATATATGGCTGCTAGTACTTGACACTGATTATGAAATGCCATATTTTCCTGTCCCTTGGAAATAAAATATAACACCCTGCTACTTAGGCATCCTTTGCTTTATATAGGACAGTTAGTTCTGTATTTGTTTCGAGAAATAAATGAATTTGAGTCACACTGGTAACAGGAGAGTGCCTCTATATTTTGAATTTAAACTTTTTAGAGCATGTTTAAAAAAATTTTTTGAACAGTTTAGATAACCAAATTGAAACATTTGTGATCAGGTTAGACTTATTAATTTCCTTATAAACTTATTAAAGAAGGCAATATTATATTACTTACTGTAAGTGTGATTTTGATTGTGGCAGCAGAGAAATACATTAAATAAATATTATATTCTCCTAGGGACTATAACTCAGAAAAAGAATTGCCTAGATTTATTTAATAAAATTAACAAATCAAATATACTTACAAATACTAACCTAATTGAAGTGTTACATTAAAGTATAATTTGTATTACATTAAAGTATCATTTACTGAATAGGCCACAGGTAGCTGAGTTTATACAACATGCTAAGCCATAAAATATATATTTTTTAAATCATTTATAAGCTAGGCAAAATGTGTTTTATAAAATATGGCTTAAAATGCAACAATGAAGCTAATTTCATTAGTTTTAAGCCATAATATGTAAATAGTAGTTTATTATAATATTTGAATCCATTCTCAGTGTATGTCAGTATACATTGGAGATGATTTAGTAAAATTCTAAAGTTTTCCTGAAACAATTTTCTTCTCATGTAATTTTGCTTCCATCTGTACGTAAGTTATTGTTACTAGAAGACAGTGACAGCATTGATATTTATATCACTAAAATAATAAGTAGTAGTCATAAAACTCATGATGAGAGAAGAGCCTTTTTATAATATAATTTTATTAATTTATTTATTATCAGAGTATAAAATACAAATGAAAAAGAGAATAGTGGAAAAATGGGAAAAGGGAAAGAGTGAAATGTAGAATGAAGGAGGAGGAAGCATTAACTTCAGACTATTTTCAATGCAACTGAATGAACATAACGTTACAGCTTCAGTTTTTTACTTTGCATATTCAGTGTACACTAGCCATTTCTATAGCAAAAAACTCAAGCACAAAATCTCAGTAAAGGAGAATATTTGTAGTTCATGGTTGAAAAGAGGGCTCCTTGATGCTCTCTGAGCTTGGTTGTTTTGTTGCAGATGTTTCATCACCTAAACTAGCTTTGGATAATGAAACACCTGCAAGGATTTAATCAAGCTCAGAGAGCCCCAAGGAGCCTTCACAAAATCCTGAAACACTTTCCAGATAGATATGTTCTTGATTAAAGCAGTTAATTTGGCCAATAGTTTCCAACCATTCTTCTATTGTGGGGATTCGTATATCTCTCCATTTTTAAGCATAAACCATTCTTGCTGCTATAAACATGTAGAACAGCAACATTCAGATACAGAAGATTCTTCAAATGAATATGCAAATTAAACTAGAGACTTTTCTTCGAGGTTTTATGGACAAAGAACTTGAAAAAAAAAGTGAAGAGTGAAGAATCAATTAATCTAGCTTTAAAATTGCCTAGAACAAAAGTTTTAAAACTCATTGCAAAATGAAAAATGAAATTTTAACCAGGTCTTTTGGTGAAGGAGAAGTAATTTATTGGATGTAAGATGAAATGCTGTGAAAGTAAACATCAGTCTCATCTTCGACACACGTCATTGATTGATGTCTTCCCTGCACAGCTGCCTAGAGGTAAAGTCTTTGAAATAGCATAGTAGGTATTTTGTCTATGGGAAAGAACACTTAGTTTTGTTGTTGCTTTTTAGATACCAGTCTATAAGTCTTTATTTTCAATCAAAGGAAAAACAGTAAATCAGAATAATTGCTTTACCCTGTGGCATTTCTGTTTGTAAAAGGAAGAAAAAATAACATAGAACCTTCAAATTAACTTTCATTTGAACTAGGTAAAAAGTCTAAAAAATTACTTGCATCCAAATATAGCATTTTATTAATCATGTCACCACTCTATGAAAAGCTGGTTTATTCCTTTTATGTGTACTGCAGTATGTTTTCATTTGGAAATATTTTTAACATTAATGAGTGGAAAGTCATCACTTCCATAAAATTCATATAAGCTATTAAAACAGAAAGTTTCTAAGGAAGTTGTTTTTCTTTAGTTAAAAAGAAACTGACTTAACTATTAGCTATGAAAGGAGATATCTGGCATATCTGAAAATTATGAAACGCCTGCTGACAAAGGAACTCTGGGAGTTGAGGTCCACACATCTTGAAATGGCCAGGTTTAAAAACCACTGTCGTAGTGTTTACATAGCTTCTGTCCTGTTAGAATAATCCTGACTTCTGGGGCTAATATGAGTTTGGACCTTTCTGTAGCAATGCTGTTACTTTTGTACTTGACTGCTCTTTGATATGTACCTTCAGGGGTGGGATTCTACCAGTTTACACCTATTCGCTAGAACTGGTTGTTAACATTCTAAGCAGTTCGGAGAACCAGTTGTTAGAAAAAATTACTGCCCTAATCCTGTAAGGAAGGCAGGAAGGAAACATTCTGGTGTTGCTTACAGAAACTGTCTGTCCATTAATCCTTATTACATTCTTGGCAGGACTAGACTTCCTGTCTCAGGAACTTCTCTGGAGTTTTTTTCCCCTCCTTTGCTGGTACTTTGCTTGTGTGGAGTGACCATTCAAAGTTACAATGGCACTGAAGAAAGTGACTTAAGATCATTTTTCACACTTACGACTGTTGCAGCATCCCCACAGTCACGAGAGGCCATGCAAGGAGATGCGTGCCTAGATGTGAGTGATGTTGAGTTGGCCATGCCCAGCCAGTCACATGACCACCAAGCCATGTCCACCCAGTCACATGACCACCACTTAAGCCACCAACTAAGCCACACCCACAGAACCGGTTGTTAAAAAAATTGAATCCCACCCCTGTGTACCTTGTGTTGTTATTGTGTTAGGCTGAATCTATTTTTAATCATATGATAGGTAGATAGATGTATAGAATAGATAGACATATAGCCAGCCATGTCAGAGACGAGACTCTGGATACCACACACCAAAATAAACAGTTAAAAATAAATACATAGGAGTATAAAACCACTCATATATGTTTGTAGGTTTTAGTAAATAAAATAAACTGTGAGAAAAAAATGTATGGAACAAAAATTATTAGGGCAGTATAAATGCTTCTAGAAACTTGACTGAAGATTTTGACAATGGTATATAACTGGCTCATGTAGCTGTCTTTCCACAGATGGAAGTAAGCCTTAGGAGAGCTCTGAAGTCTGTTGTGTTATGCTACAAGGACAAGTATTTTATTATAAACTTTAAAAATAATGTTTTTATATAGTTAAAGTTAAATGCAGGGACACTGTGACAGTTGTAAGTGCAAGGACCAGTTACTTTTTCAGTGTTGTTATAACTTCAAATGGTTGCTAAACAGCACAGTCATTGAGTGATGGATGTGATGGATCAGACTTTCTTTGATGATAGTAGAATTACTGCTATTATAGACCAATAGTATTGCTGCAAATAAATGTATCATTTTTGAAACAATTCTGACTGGAGTCAAAGAGAAAATTCAGTAAGGTTGAAGAAGGATTGCAGCAGGAATACAATCAAAATTCCAGGATGCCTAAAAGAAAAATAGAGAAATGTTTAGTGAAATTCACCAACTTGTCTTAAACTTTGCTGAGCTTTTATCAGAGCTTGTTTTAGTTCTCCATTTAGCAGTTCTAGAGGAAGGATTTAATACTGCAACCATGCAGAAATTATGTCCTTGTGAATTTGGGAAGGTGGGACCAATTGAAAACATGTTTTTAGCAGTAAATTAATAGTGATCTTGAATTGAGCCTATTTGCAGGCCTTACCAATAAATATGCTTAGCCACCTTCATGATTTTGTACTTATCACCTTTTTGTAGACAAAAACCTGAAGATGACATACAGAATTATTAGATACTGCTTTCTAGCTTCAACAGTTTGCCACCTTATGTAAACTTTGGAAGATAGGACTAATGCATATAACAATTGTAGCATTCATATTTGGAATTTATTGGGAATGTTTTATGTAGGTATAGCTAGTCTAAAGCTTTCCTTCCTTCCTTATTGTATATGAAATCCCTTGATCAAACTGGTATTTTTAAATGCATCATCTTGTCAACTTTTATCATTTTTGGGGTCTTGGTTTGCACCTAAATACTGCCACCAAATTTGATTAGTTTTTGTTCTTTTTTGGTGCAGTGTCTATGATCTTGACAGAAATATGCTACGAAGAAAAGAATGGGAAAGGAGAAATCAGGAGATACAGCATGAAGACAGCATATTTAGTACCAGTTATTCTCTCTTCAGTGAACCATACAAGGTATGTACTGAATACTTCATATACTTCTATACTTCTATATCAGGGGTGTCAAACTCAAAGTCTGCAGGCCGGATCCGGCCCATGGAGTGCTTAGATCTGGCCCACAGGGCTGCTCTGAAAACAGCAAAAGACCGGCTCATGGGGCCTCTACCAGCAAAAATGGAGCTTGCGTGGGCTGTGCCTGGCCTTCACGAGCGCCATTTTCACTGGCAGAGGGTTGCAAAAGGCTGTCCCAGCCAAAAACAGAGCTCACAAAGGCCACGTGTGGCCCTCCCAAGCTCCATTTTCGCTGGCAGAATGCTTGGGCCACAGGTGCCACTGACACGAATGAGGTCAAGCTGGCCATGCTCACCCTGGCCACGTCCATCCTGGCCACCTGAGATCAAACACAACCCTGATGCGGTCCTCAATGAAATTGTATTTGACACCCCTGAACTATATCCTTCCCATCTGTTAAATTGACTTGTTTATGGAATAGTGAAATAGATTATGTATATTTTTTATAAGGCAAAGGAGTTTAATATTTGCAGATTTTTGTTCATTGTGCCTTCCAAGTTACATTGATTCATTTCCTCATCAGTTCCAAATGTGATATAATTTTCTGCAACCTAATTACTAATTAATTTGTTTTACGTTGCTATTCCTCTCACAAAGCTACTTGTGAGAATGACCGTTTTCTTAACTCTTTTGGACAATATAAGTCAAAATTAAATAATTTGATCCAGTAAAGCCAGTGGCATTAATTATTTTATGTTCTTTCCTTAACTGAACTGTAGAAATAGATTATTATAGATAAGTATAGTTTCACATAATGCGCTGACTTCATAAAGCATGCATTTATGTTAATGATCGGTTAAGTTTAGGTGCTTGTTATTTGGAATATATTCAGCCACAGGTATTTCTCAACCTATGACATACTTGGGACCAGAATTTAAACAAATTAAATTGTTGATTATTAAACAAATCAATCTTCACCAATTGATTTTGCTTGGCAGAAACTAATTGGAACGGTCATAAATCATAATAAGGCATTGCAAACATTGTAAATGTGAGTTATTTACTAAGCATCCAAATTGTAATCATGTGCTCATGGGGGTGTTGCTACAATTGAAATTTTTAGGACAGATCATAAATCACTTCTTCTGAGGCCATCGTATCTTTAAACCATCATTAAAAGAGTGATCATAAATTGAGACTATCTGTGCATTGAAAAATATAAGCTGTTTTAAAATGAGATTACACTTGTATAGTGCCTAATCAATATCTTCCCTCCCTTTTTAAAGTAAACCCTTCAGATAAATTAATAAACTGTGCATATAGAAAGTTAAATGTTAACCTAGTACCATTTTTTAGGAACTTAATATCATTCTTGGTTTTTTGCAGGATTATGTTATCATCCACCAGAAATTTCCATTCAGGCTGTTGTTTTTTCATATACTTTTGCATGGAATAATCAAATATTTTTCTTAACCAAATAAGACAAGCATCTCTTTGAATCTGTATTTCCCAGGCCTTGGCCTCATCCCACTTTGCTGTTTTATGTTTTGAACACAACTTCTTGTTGTTTCCTTTTCCCTATAGTAGGGGTGTTAAACTCAATTTCATTGAGGCCCACATCAGGATTGTGCTTGACCTTGGAGGGTGGTGGCCAGGATAGCTCAATGTCACTCATGTTGGGAGTGCCTGTCGTGACCCAATGAACTCTGCCAGCAAAAGCAGGCTCCTAAGCTCCATTTTTGGCTGCGACGTCCTCCTGCAAATGCAGTGAAAATGGAGCTCAGGATACGGCCCTCCCGAACTCTGTTTTCACTGGCAGGGACACCATAAGCCATTCCTTCACTGTTTCCAGGGAGGCCCCGTGGGCAAGATCTAAGCATCCCATGGGCCAGATTCGTCCTGTGGGCCTTGAGTTTGACACCACTGACTTTTCTGGTGTTAAACACCAATGATACATCACAGCAGCAGAACCTACTTCTTAAGATGTATTATACAAAACTAACAGGCGGTTAAAGACACTGTTTGTCAGCTGGAAAGCTGGCAGCACAGGTTCGAGACCTGAGTGCTACCCAATGGAATGACTTTCCATTACTTGCCTCAGCTCCTGCCCATGTAGCAATTTGAAAGCATGCAAATGCAAGTAGATAAATAAATACCATTTTGGTGAGAAGGTAACAGCATTCCGTGCACTTTGGTGGATAGCATGCTGACCACATGACCTCAGAAATGTCTTCAGAAAATGCTGGCTCCCTCAGCTAAGAAACAGAGATAAGCACCACCTCCTAGAGTCAGATATGACTGGACAGGGGAACCTTTGCTATTACCTTTAGCCAAAGAAAGGGCATCTTGTTACTTAAATTATAACTAGAGAATTAGTTAATGTTTAAATCTATAAAATAGGCAGGTCAGTAAGGATGCTTTTTCACTATTTATGTAATAAATAGCTAACTACTTACATACAGGTAATCTTCAAGTTACGACAGTTCATTTGGTGACTGTTAAACTTATGCAATAATACACCCCCCAAGTACTTACGACACAGTTCCGAAGTTATGAATGTTCAGCACCATGACAGTTGTTCACCCTTACAAATGACCGCAGAGGCACTGCAACATTCATCCTGCCTATCACCCCCACCCCCTCATGTGCACTTAACGATTAGCGAATACGTGGGCAAAAACAGGGAGTTTTCACATTCATTTTACGTGATCCAACAAATTCTCAGGTTATGAATGTAATTGGCAGGCTCCGTTACATTTGTAACTCAAGGACTACCTGTATTTAAAGCATTATTTATTTATTTATTTATTTATTTATTTAATTAATATACATTTATTTATTGCTTGAAAAATGAAGGGTTACAAAGAAATATATTTACCTGAGCTAGGATTCCTTTGAACTGGAAAGTTACATTATGTTTTCACAACATATGTAGCTAATCTGTATTGTGAGTTATAGAATATCTTGAAACATAAATTAATCAAAACAGCTGTATTTTGAGAACATCTATACAGTAAAAATTACATAGCATATTAGAGACATACAGATTTCAGGTCTTTAACCTGAATAACTATATAACATTACTGCTGTTACATTGGTCTTTAAAGTTTGAATTTATTTACAAATACATAAATACTATGGGGTTTGTAGGGCAATAGATCTATGTGACTTATTTAACCTCTGCTGTATGTTCCCTGTCTAATGCTTACCCACATTCAGAATAAATAGAATTATTAGATAGTCTCAACCAATAACCTGTATTTTTAACATCATCAATCCTACACTACAAAATTACTGCACATTCATGATTTTCAATAATTTTATTTCTTGACCTTTCATTTATTTTGATTATTTCCTTTACAGACGAATAAGGGGGATGAACTGTCTAGTCGTATCCAGAATACACTGGGTAACTACGATGAAATGAAAGAATTGTTGACCGATCACTCCAATCAAAGCCAGCTTGTTGGTGTTCCAAAAGCCTGTATATCACAGGCCTCTATGAACAAAATGGAGGAGCACTTTGCTGCTGAAACTATGACTCACACTCAGACTTCTGTTTGCAGTCCTCAGTCTTCTTTGCCAGTGGCACTTTCTGGACAGCTAAGCAAGAATGCAACATTAGGTTGGCAGAAATCTGGGCGTTGCTTAGAAAATCAGCAAAGGGGGGGCAAGCATAGGCATGGATTGTCAGATTCACAAAGTAATGATTTCAAAATGGCTAACCAAAAGAGCAGCTTGGAAAAGATTATGCATTATGTACACAGTCCTTCACCATCATCTTCATCCAGTGCTATTCAAGGTCCTATAGCATCCTTAATTGTAGAAAACGTCCAAACACAACAGCAGTCAAAATTGAGCTGTGCCACAGAGACTGGAGTCCAGACTCAAGAAAGACCAGCTATTCATAGCAATGGACACTGTGTACAAAATTTTCATCCTGCACTTACTTCAAAACCAAATATAATTCAGCAGAAACCAACAGCTTATGTGAGGCCAATGGATGGTCAGGATCAGGCTCCTGATAAATCTCCAAGACTAAAGGTGCCGGATGAAAACAGCATGCTCTGCACCTCATACAGAGAGATGTCTTCTGTTAAAAATGAATCGGCTAGGACCAAGTCAAAAATGACAAAGTGTGGCATTTCCAAGCAAGAAGAGGTAAGTTTAATTATGATGCACCTTTCATAACAAACCAATAAAGAATAACTTTTCACATATTTAGGGTGATATAGCCTTTTCCTTTCAGGAAGAATGTTTTGAATTTCATTTCCAGTGTTTCTATGACTCAAACTCTAAGTGGCAAACACACACTATAATCAATATTTTGATATAATAGAGTTCCATCTATTGTGTAGTAATGAAATGACTTCATTCAATATGTGCATTCTTAATGGTTTATGTATTTTATAAACTGCAATTTTTTAACTATTCACATTTCTGTGAAAAGATGGCTCTGATTTGACCTCTTTTCAAGAGTTTCTGGTAAATGACTTTTAGTGAATTGGGTTTTTTAAAAAATGGAACTATTGTATATAGAGCTAACAAGGATTTACATTAGAAATGGGTAATATCTTCATATTTGAGGACTGCCATTGACCTTGGAATAGATTGCTGGGAGTTCACTCCTGAAAGAAGCCATAAGAAAAGAGAAAAACATGAACTGAGCTAAGTAAAAGTTAGGTTAATTTTTAAAAATCCATTTCTCCAAATGAATACTTTTAAATTGAATCAAATCACACAGCCAAAATGCATCATCAAATGTTATGACAATACCCAAGGATTTTCTAGGAGTCACAAAGTCTTAATGGCAAATACAGATTACTCTGGAGGCAGGTATGATGAAAATAGCAAGTTATTTAGAAGCCAGATATACAGACAGATTTGTCAGAAGGAACTTACATAGCAAGGATAGTATTAATCTGTGATCTTTCCACTCATAGGGTATGTATATCCTTTCAGATGTTGTATGTAATGTATGCATTTATTACTTTTTATTTCTATAGTTAAAGTTCTGTTGTTGCCAAGAAAAACACAATTTAGTATGGCAAACACAATCTGTGATTGCTCAAAACCCTCACTGATCCTAAGTACATCTGCTAAGGCTTTAGCTGTAGTTTCGGTTTCCTAGGTTTAAGCATGTTGAATTGACATAATATTGCTTTAAATCTGATCTTAAACAGTAGGCTTTTAAAAATATAGTTATTTCTGCAGTGTTTAAGTTCTTAATTTTTTTTAATCTCAGGAACCTGATATATCTTCAGTTCATTAAGTTGATTTCAGTACAATGAATCACAGGAAATAGCATTTGAATACAAATCACAGGATATTACTTTTAAATTTGCAGGAAAGCTTGATTTCCTTGACAGATCTATTCTGTGTTTAATATAGTTAATCAGCTCCAGAAGGTTCTTGGTAGCTTGACATAAAATTAATCATAACAATTTCTAAAATTTAATGTAGTGAAATACCTTTAAATATTAAATACAAGAAGTATATTTCATTAAATTAATTTTTGAAATGTTCATTCAAGATGTGATTTTTGAGTCATTTTCATCAGTATTAATCAGAATGCATACTCAAATATCCTCCACCTTTCAAAAACTATCCTACTTCTCAGTATAAATTATAGCCTTTCAATTCAAGTGTTGCTGTTTCTTATGTAGAATTTTACTGTAAGCAGTTTACAAAATATATTATTAGAATGATGTACTGAATAGAAAAGAAAATAGGTCACAGAGAAAAATCTGCTTTCTAGTATTATATTGTATATGAGCCGCAGTGGTGCAGTGGTTAGAATGCAGTATTGCAGGCTACTTCTATTGACTGCCGGCTGCCTGCAATTTGGCAGTTTGGTGTATGTAATAAATAAATGTATGTAATATATTTAGTTAATTTATATCAATTTAATATGGTAATATTTAACTTTGATTTTGTTTTACTTGTCAATATAAATTAATTATATTATCTGTTGAACAGTTGTATATTATCTTTTTGAAATCTGTTTTGTTCATTGTTTGCTCTATACTTTTTAAAAATTTTCAATTAAAAATACTTCATGACAATTGTTTTAAAACTGATGGCAAAGAATATAAAAATAGTTGAACCAAGTACAAATATAATCAGTCATTTAGATTGTTCTAATTCAATGTGAAAATAAATTTTGATAATTAGTTTTCTATATAAATTCATTGTTTCATTTGATGACCCAGTAAGCTAGGGTCTTCTAAGTAACCACATTTAACTAGATATTAAAAATAGTGATTGTGGCTTTTCAGTTTTTAATCTCAGTTGTTTTTCTAATTGAGGGAGAAATCAGAACACCAGTTTGATCCAGGGGTTGAGGCACCAGGCTGAGAAAAACTAGGAGGAGAAAGGAATACTAGATACGTTTGCTACCTTGAATTATTTATATAAATAATAAACGTGTAATTAAAAATATTTTAAAAATAAGGTATACATGCTTGATTTAAACTATTACCTTAATTAAAATGTATATTAAACTAAGGATATAAGTGTGGTTACAGTGTGAAGGAATTTTGGAAATTTGCTATGGATTTGAAAAGTTGTAATTCCAAGATATCTGGAGAGTGGCTAATTGGAGGTGGTCAGATACGCTTGTTTCAGTTGTGGCTGAAATAATATTTGGTTTTCTACCTTTTATTGTCATACTTACTAATGTATTCATCAGCTTCGTTAGCTATACCATCAATTTCAGAAATTTCATTTCATAAGCTGCTTTCCTAAATACTTGTCAGCAACTCTTTATTAAAGTAGGTAATTAAGTTAGCAATATGAAAGAAGCAGATTAAGGCACAGAATGTTTATCAAACCTTTGCATAACTTTGCCTTTTGCATAGTGCCTGTTTCTTGAAGCCTTATTTATAGCCGCTCATCCTTTTGTCACATCTTGTTTGGATTACTGCCCATGCTTGCAGAGCATTCTGAAATTACTTGTTCAGAATACACCCATGTAATAGTAATAATATATTCAATAACTGCAAGAGAGATCTTGGAATCCTAATGGATAGGCACTTAAATATGAGGCAGCAAATGTGCTGCAGCTGCCAAAAAAACTAACACAGTTCTAAGCTGCATGAAAAGAGGGGTAGAATCAAGATCATGTGAAGTGTTAGAACCGCTTTATAATGCCTTGATAAGACCACACTTGGAATATTGCATCAGTTTCGGTTGCCATGACATAAAAAGATGTTAAGACTCAAGGAGTACAGAGAGTAGTAACAAAGATGATCAGGGCACTGGAGGCTAAAACATATAAAGAATGGTTACAGGAATTGCAGGGGTGGGATTCTACCAGTTTGCATCTATTCAGTAGAACCGGTTGTTAACATTCTAAGCAGTTCGGAGAACCAGTTGTTAGAAGAAATTACTGGCCTAATCCTGTAAGGAAGGCAGGAAGGAAACATTCTGGTGTTGCTTACAGAAACTGCCTCTCCGTTAACCCTTATTACATTTTTGGCAGGACTAGACTTCCTGTCTCAGGAACTTCTCTGGAGTTTTTTCCCCCTCCTTTTCTGGTACTTCATTCAAAGTTACAATGGCACTGAAAAAAGTGACTTATGACCATTTTTCATACTTACGTCTGTTGCAGCATCCCTACAGTCATGAGAGGCCAGGTGAGGAGATGCGTGCCTCGATGTAAGGGATATTGAGTTGGCCACGCCCAGCCAATAACATGACCACCAAGCCACGTCCACCCAGTCACATGACCACCAAGCCATGCCCACCAACTAAGCCATGCCCACAGAACTGGTTGTTAAAAAGTTTGAATCCCACCCCTGAGGAATTGGTTATGTTTAGTTTAATGGAAAGAAGGACCGGGGGTGACATGATATCAGTGTTCCTGTATTTGAGAAGCCTCCAAACTATTGGAGTGTCAAACTATTCTTCAAATCACCTGAAGGCAGGACAAGAAGCAATGGATGGAAACTAATCAAGGAGAGAAGCAACCTAGAACTAAGAAGAAATTTTCTGACAGTGAGAAAATTAATCAGTGGAACGACTTGGTTCCAGAAGTTATGGGTGTTCCAACACTGGAGGTATTTAAGACAAGATTGGACAACCATTTGTCTGATATGATATGAGTTTTGAATTACAAGACCTCCAAGGTTCTTCCCAACTCTGTTATTCTGTTAATACCTCTAGCTTTGCAAGCTGCACTGGCTCCCAATTCAAGATGCTTGTTGCTGCCTACAAATCCTTACATGGTGGGGGGTCCAAGTCATTTGCAGGACTGGTTTGTTTCTGCTCATCCCTCCAGAATGGGTGGACTTGGTATGCTTTGGGTCCCATCTTGTAAGACCTAAAAGTCATGCATTCTCTGTCACTGTATCTGCCCTGGGGAACAGCAATCCCCCAGAGATCCAGATAGCTTTGACACTATTAGCCTTTTTCTTGTCATTGAAGACCTGGCTGCTCTCACACTCATGTGGTCTAGGACATTAAGAGAGCCCTTGCTTTGTTTATGTGATTTGAAGGAGAAAGTTTTTCTGTGCAAAATGCAATGAACCTTTATTGAAGGCAACAGACCAGGATACGCAAGAACACATTTTTTAACCTTATGTGAAACACACACTACATAGTCTTTTTCCAGGTCATGAAAGAGAGAAAAACAAGCTTTCTCGTTTTAGGGAGAAGGGAATGGTATTTTTGCTGCACAATTTTATATTTGATTCTTTCATTGCTGATATCTAATAACCTTAAAAGTCTCATCAAGTATCTTTTGACCAATGTGGGATTTATGTAAGTTTAGGATGTTCTATTGCTAAAATTGTATTTTGATTTTGATTTGTTTGTATATATATTTTCTCATTTAAAATTGTTGCATGAAATAACGAGACTTGAATAGCAATGTTTGCCCTTTTTAAATTTCAGTTTGCTTCTGATTTGGAAATAATATTAAAAAAGTTTTTCCTGTCGGTAGAGATAGGTCTAAAGTTACTGTAGTTTTTGAAATCAGATTCTTTTTTTTAAAGGAGATACGTTTAACAAAAAAAGAGAGACATGATATATATATATTTCTGACAGTGTAATGAACCTTTAAACTTTTATTCATATCAAGGTTATTATTACTTATTTCTATGCTACCTCTATGGCCTACAAAATGTCCTACAATATCACCACAGCATCAATATCACAAG